TAGCTAAAATTTAAGGAGGAATTGAAAAAACCTACCTCCAACCATGCTCCTTATCCAACTTCTAAAATAAGGAGACCTTTAGGAGATTCTAAATCTAAGGAGAGAGAAAGGACTCCTAATGACTTCCTATAATTAAATGCTTTTATGTTTAATAGACTTAATTACACTAATGCTCTCTGAAATTTTGGTCAAATCCCACTTTGCCTCCCTAAACTTAAAATGGCCTACTTTCATCCCTTGATTGAGATTTGGAGTACATCAAGAGCTCGAAGAAGAGAGGGGTGAACTGGTGTGACAGATTCGATGTTCTGTGTGTAAGTGAGAGAGAGTAAGAAAGGTGGAGAGAGAGGGAGACATGAAGAGAGTGGGTCGGGGAGTGAGGGGTGGGGGAGAGGGGGGTGATTGAGGGGTCTGTTGGGTGGATGTAGCTAGGGGAGGGGGTGGAGGTGGGGTGGCTGTGTTATCAATTTTTTAATTTTTTTTGTTTTAACTCATGCTTGTCTTTATTTGATAGCCAAGAGAGTTATAACTCATGTTGTTCAAGTTCCTACTATAATTAAAATGATTCTTCATATCATACAATCATTTTCCTTGAATAAGCCTAGTATCACTAAGCTGAGCTATGTAGAGTTTCTATTAGCATGTTTGTTTGTGCAAAGGAAGGGAAAAGAATAACCATTAATTAGCACGAAAATGTAGAGCAGCTATAACCTTTAGTTCAATGATGTGAGGTTGGTATGCAAAGATTTAAACTAATTCTTGCATTTGTTTGTCATATCTTTCTAGGTGGACTTTTCTGACATTGTCAATTATGAGTTTTTGGAGAATCTAGGTTTGGAAAAGAGAACAAGAAATCTTGTGAATCATGAAGAAAGAGGTAAAGATGAAAGTCGTGGTTGTGGGACTGGTAGGGAAAGGGATGGCTTGGTTGTTGGTGGTTCTTTGGATAAGGGTTCACAGTGGGATGGGGAAGGAGGGAGTGGGAGGCGTCAGACATGAATGAGGGGAGAAGGGCGCATTGAGGAACGGCTGGTGGTGAAGTAATTTCATTAAGTAGTCTTTTTATTATTTATATTTATATTTTTAAATATATCTTTATCTATGGGGAAGTGGGCTCCACTTGCCATGTTATCCATTCAATTGTAGGTAATGATTCATATGTACAAAATTACAAAAACACTCATGTCACGTCATCAAAGTTAATAGAGTTTTAAATGGAGATGATGACATGGGGAAAAGTGAGTCACCAAACCTCGATCAAGGTATGAAAGTGGGTCATTTTGAGTTTGTGGGGGCAAAGTGGGATTTGACCAAAGTTTCAAGGAGCATTGGTGTAATTAAGCATATTGAATATTATTTTAAGTATTTATTTAATGTCAACTATTTTTTATTGTTGCTTTTGTGTCTACACTTTATTCAAAAATTGAATTAAAAATATTAAAAACATTTATCACTCTTTGAACTAGGGAATATGGTTATAGTTGAAATTTTATAAAGAACTTCTAAAATAACTTTATAGTGTTTGAATCTAAATTTTAACTAAAAAATAGAGAGCATAATTGTGAATGCTCTAAGGGAGCTAAATTCAGAAAAACTAATAAACAAACTTCTGGGTCTAGCAACCCCACTCAAATCTTCCAGTAGATAATGTCCAAACCCTTCAGACACACCCTCCAAAATTCTACACCCCAATTATAGTTTTGCGCATATTAAAATTTTATTTTACGAAATTTCAGTAAAGTACAATTACTTTACTTTGGATGGTTCCTGAGAAAAGTAATTGATGATATTAATAATTTATTTTAATTTAGTTTCTAAATAATGGGGATATTAATAATTTATTTTAATTTAGTTTCTAAATAATGGGAAATATATATTTCATTCTCAATATTTGGTAATGTTGTCCTTAAATTAGAAATATTTAAAGATTTATTTGTTGAAATGCCCTATGTGGTTTACTTTTTGTATCAGTTTACCTCATTCCATTAGTTTGGTTAAAAAAAACCGTGAAGTTACTAATGTGGCATAGGCATTGTGGTAATTTTAACACCTAAAAATTTCAAAAAATAAATTAGATATAAAAACATGATTAAACACATTTTAAAAAGACTATTTAAAATATCTTAAAATTATATAGAAACAAATAATAAAATAATTTTTCAAAAATTAATAACTTATCAACTCTTCCCCATTAGGCATAATCTTACTTCTATGATTCACTTATGAAAGACATCTGTGTATAATTTTATTGAGCATGCACATATTTGTATGGGGGATATACTAGTACATTTTAAACACGAGCATAGCTTACTTCTTTTTTGTACAAATGTGTTTTTGGTTTCCTCTCAATCGAGTCACCTCCTCAAATTAGTGGAAATCCAAACTTAATCACCTCCAATCCCACAACCACAACCCCAACCTCATTCACCTCCATACCCACAACCCCAACATCACTCACCTTCCCAAGAAGAAACTTCAAACCAATACATTATGAACATGGTTTTCCTTTTTTTGTGGAACATCGTACACATTTGGTCTCAATCACAATCAATTGGGAAACATGGGTTTTGAGAAGAAAAAGAGGTGTATTTATACACCCGAAAAATGTGATAGCCGGTGTATTCCTTCAACTTATATGATTGCAGCCATTGCTACATGATGGCTCACATTAGGCATGATCTTACTTCTATAGTTCACTTGTGAAAGACATCTGCGTATAATTTTATTGGGCATGTACACATTTTTTAGGGCAATGTACTGGTATATTTTAAACATGAGCATAGCTCGCTTCTTTTTTGCACCGATGTATTTTTGTTCTCCTCTCAATCAAGTCACCTCTTCCAATTAAGGGAAATCGAAACTTAATCACCTTCACACCCACAATCACAACCTCACTCACCTTCATACTCACAACCCAAACATCACTCACCTCCCAAAAAAGAAACTTCAATCCAATACATTGTGAACATGGTTTTCGTTTTTTGTGGAACCATATATACATTTGGTCGTAATCATCATCAATTAGGAAAGATAGGTTTTAGGAAGAAAGAGAGGTATTTGTACACTTGAAAAATGTGGTAGCTGGTGTGTTCATTCAACTTACTTGATTCCATCTATTGCTATTTGAGGGCTCACATTAGGCATAATTTTACTTCTATGGTTTACTCGTAAAAGGTATCTGCGTATAATTTTATTTGGCATGTACACATATTTGTGGGCGATGTACACATTTTAAACACAACCATAGCTTGCTTCTTTTTTGAACCAATGTGTTTTTTAACCCCTCTCAATCGAGTCACATTCTCCAATTAATATAAATCCAAACTTAATCACCTCCACACACACAAACACAACCCCAACCTCACTCACCTCCGTACCCACAACCTTGACATCTCTCACCTCCCTAAGAAGAAACTTCAAACCAATACATTGTGAACATGATTTTCGTTTTTTGTGGAACCATGTACACATTTCATTTCAATCACCATCAATTAAAAATAATAGGTTTTGGGAAGAAAGATATGTGTATTTTTACACCCGAAAAATGTGGTATCTGGGGTGTTCCTTTAACTCGCTTCTTTTTTGTACCAATATGTTTTTGGTTTCCTCTCAATTGAGTAACCTCCTCAAATTATTGAAAATTTAAACTTAATAATTTATACCCCCACAACCACAACCCCAACCTCACTCACCTCCGTACCCATAACCCCAATAACACCCACCTCCCAAAGAAGAAACTTCAAACCAATACATTATGAACATTATTATTATTATTATTTGAAACGATGTACACATTTGGTTTCAATCACCATCAATTAGGAAATATGGGTTTTGAGAAGAAAAAGAGGTATATTTGTACATCTGAAAAATATGAGAGCCGGTGTGCTCCATCAACTTACGTGATCGCAGCCATTGCTACCCGAGAGCTCACATTAGGCATTATCTTACTTCTATGGTTCACTCGTGAAAGACATCTGCTTATAATTTTATCGAGCATGTACATATATTTGTGGGCAATGTAGTGGTACATTTTAAACACGAGCCATTTTTTCGTGCTTTTGAACCGATGTGTTTTTCCAACTCCTTTTAATTGAGTCACCTCCTCCAATTTACTCGCAATCCCAAACTTAATCCATCTCCACACCCCACAAATACAACCCTAACCTTACTCACCTCCATACACACAACCTCAACATCACTCACCTCACCAAGAAGAAACATAAAAACCAATACATTATGAAGTGTATTTGTACACCCGAAAAATGTGATAGTCGTTGTGTTCCTTCAATTTACTTGATCGGAGCCATTGCTACCTGATTGCTAACATTAGGCATGATCTTGCATCTATGGTTCACTTATGAAAGACATACACGCATATTTTTATCGGGAATGTACACATTTTTGTGTGTGTTATATTGGTACATTTTAAACACAAGCATAGTTTGTTTGTTTTTTTGTGCTAATGTGTTTTTGGTCTCCTCTCAACCGAGTCGCGTCCTATAATTAAGAGCACCTCCAGCACAGCACCCAAACCCTGGCAACAGGCCCCCCAAGGCCCGATTTGGACCTCCAGCACTCAAAAGGAAGCCCGGGCAAGGCATAGGACCCACTAGCCCGAGCAAGCCCAAGGGCAATTTTGGATTGGGCTCTTGCCCGATGGCACTGACGTTAGTGTGACATCACGGCTGACGCCAGTGCTGACAGGCCCCAACAAGAAGACGCAATGTGGCGCTTCCGGGATGCTCCATCGAATTTTGTCTAGAAATCCTACAGCCTTATTTTTTTGGCTAAAAAAATTGTAAAACAAATTGAAACAAATTCAAATTTAAAATTAAAAACAAAAAAAAACAAAAACAAAAAATTCTGAATTTTATCCCTATAAATACCTAACAATTTTATTCACTTTCCACACCAAATCTTCATACAAACTCTTCTCCTTCCAATATTTTTTACTTTCCACTCACATTTTTCTACTACTTTCCATTTGTATCAAAAAACAAATGGCCTCTTCTATCGAAGCCGGAGGCACGTGGACAACTCAGAAAGATATTGTGTTGTGTGAGTGTTGGGTGAAAGTTAGTCATTGTCAAGTCACGGGCAATGAGATGAAGTTCTGTCATTTGTGGAGAAAAATTCATGGAGAATTTTGCGAAAGATCGGGTTCGCTTCGGACGAAAATGGCCATGGGTAGTAGGTCGAAAATTTTGAATATAGAGTTAGAGAAATGGAGAGATGAGTTGGCAAAGGTGAGGGACAACATTCGAAGCGGTCAAAACCTTGCCGATGAGGTAAAATATTTATAAATGATGTATGTTTCAATTTAATGTAACTTTTTTTTTTCTTTGCATATTCTTTTTTTTTTCTTGCATTTCCAATTTGTTTATATTTTCTTGCATAATCATTTTTTTTTCTTGCATTTCCAATTTTGTTTATATTTTCTTACCTAATTTTTTTTTTCTCGCATTTCCAATATGTTTATAATTTCTTGCATATTCATTTTTTTTTCTTGCATTTCCAAATTGTTTATATTTTCTTGCATCTACAATTATTTAGTTTTAATAGATTATACAAGCACAAATGTGGTTCGGTGCCATGGACCAAGACAAAAATAGTTTCATGAATCACCAATGTTGAGACATTGTGAAGAATTGTTCGAGATTCAAAATAATTTCCATAGGTCCGATAGTTGTGTTGAACGAAAGAATAGAGAAGATATGGTGTGAGAGGTATGAGTTGAGGGTGTAGTTTTATAGAGGGATTGAGAAGATGGAGATAACACATGATGCAATTTTAGAGGGTGAAAATCTTATAAAAAATATGATATTATAATTTTTTAATAAATATTTGAAAATCTTATCTGACATGGGGCACGTGGCTCAATATTCGAGGGTGAAAATCTTATCTGAAATATGAGATTATATATATATTTTTTAATAAATATCCAAAAATCTTATCTGAAATAAAACACGTGATAACCGAGAGTCTCATCTGAAAATCTTATCAGAAATTTGATGGACACGTGACAACCAAAAATTAAATTTGAAAATTTATCAAAAAATGTTATCTGAAATTTTAGGTGAGAATTTTATAATAAATAGTGACATGTGCCAAACGAAAATATTATCTAAAAACCTTATCAAAATTAAAGATTTAAGTATAAAAAAAGAAATAAATTAAAGTGAATAGTGTTTGCCCTTGCCATTGCCCTTTAGGGTGGAACGAAAAAAGGGAAGGCTGCCACTATTCACGTGAATAGTGGCAAACCTAGCCTTGCCTTTGCCTTACCCTTCCACTTTGGGGTGGAGGTGCCCTAATGAAAATCTAAACTTAATCATCTCCACACCCACAACTACAATATCACTCACCTACATACTCACAACCCCAAAATCATTCATCTCTCAAAGAAAAAACTTCAGACTAATACATTGTGAACATGATTTTCGTTTTCTGTGGAACCATGTATACATTTAGTCTCAATCACCATCAATTAGGAAACATAGGTTTTGGAAAGAAAGAGAGATGTATTTGTACACACCCGAAAAATATGGTAGCCGGTATGTTCCTTCAACTTACGTGATCGCATCCATTGCTATCTCGGGGCTCACATTAGATATGATCTTACTTTTATGGTTCACTCCTGAAAGGGATATGCGTATAATTTTATTGGGCATGTTTACTTTTTTGTACAGATGTGTTGGATTAGCAATGTAGTTGTGACGTTCACCTTTTTGGTGTTGTGGTTACATGGAAGCAGGAAAAAATTTCATACCACCTTTATGGTGTTGAAAGGTGCCGGAGCAAAAGTTAATAATGTTAAACGGTACATGCGTTGGTGAGCTAGAGATGATATCTATAGGGTTTAGGGTTGATTCTACTGTTCCTGATGTGTAACTTGTCTTTCTATTCAATTGTTACTTTATTTAAGGATTTATGTATTTCATTTATATTGTATTATTCGAGACTTCTTTAGGTAGGGACAACTGGTTCGCTTTACTCTTACTTTTTCTACTAAATTTTAATAGATTTGTTATATTTATATTGAAAGAAAGAAATGCCAAAATAATTGTAAAGGGGAGGGCTAGATTATCGAAATAAAAAGAGAAAAAGAAGTTATAGACGAAACTTATTTCCCAATTGAGTAGATACAATGTATGCCAGTCTTTGTGGTATTCCAACAATGTTACTATCCTTAATTTTTCATAAGTGTTTGTGGAAAATCTAGTTATCGCATGATGCTACTTCAATTATTAACATTATTCTCCAAAGTAATCACCACATATAATTTTTTCTACAATAGTCATACGACAATCTATTTGCATGAGTTTCCAAAATATCACAACCTTCGGCTTTAATAATACCCAAACATACTCAACTTACGTATTTGTACACTCAAAAAATATGGTAGCATGTGTGTTCCTTTCACTTATGTGATCGCAACCAGTGCTACTTGAGGTATCACATTAGGCATGATCTTACTTCTATGATTTACTCGTAAAACGCATCTACTTATAATTTTATTGGGTATGTACACATATTTGTGGGAGATGCAATGGTATAATTTCGACTCCTCTCAATCGAGTCACCTCCTCCGATTAATAAAAATCCAAACTTAATCACCTCCATACCGACAAAAACAACCCCTACCTCACTCACCTCTGTACCCACAACCCCAACATCACTCACCTCCCTTAGAAAAAACTTCAAACCAATACATTGTGAACATTGTTTTTTATTTTTTGTGGAACCATATACACATTTAGTCTCAATAACCATCAATTAGGAAACATAAGTTTTGGAAAGAAAGAGAGGTGTATTTGTACACACCCGAAAAAAGTGGTAGCCGGTATATTCCTTCAACTTACGTGATCGCATCCATTGTTACCTCGGGGCTCACATTAGGTATGATCTTACTTTTATGGTTCACTCATGAAAGGGATCTGCGTATAATTTTATTAGGCATGTATAATTTTTTGTACCAATGGGTTTGATCAACAATGGAGTTGTGGCCTTCACCTTCTTGGGGTTATGGTTACATGGAAGCGGGAAAAAATTTCATACCACATTTATAGTGTTGAAAGGTGCCGGAGCAAGAGTTAACAATGTTAAGCTGTACATAGGCTGGTGAGCTGGAGAGGATATCTATAGGGTTTATGGTTGATTCAACTGTTCCTGATGTGTAACTTGTTTTTCTGTTCAGTTGTTGCTTTATTTAAGGATTTATGTATTTGATTTCCAGTGTATTGTTCGAGACTTCTTTAGGTGGGGACAACTGGTTTGCTTTATTCATACTTTTTCTACTGAATTTTAGTAGATTTGTTCTATTTCTATCAAAAGAAAGAAGTGTCAAAATAATTGTGAAGGGGATGGCTAGATTATCGAAATAAAAGAGAAAAATAAGCTATAGACAAAACTTATTTCCCAATTGAGTATATACAATGTATGTTAGTCTTTGTGGTATTTCAACAATATTACTATCCTTAATTTTCCATAAGTGTTTGTGGAAAATCTAGTTATCGCATAATTTTCCATAGTGGAAAACGTTTGAAATCCTGGAGAGAAAAGACAAAAGGAAAGTCCAGACGGTGTTCTCTATGTGGTAAGATTGGACAACATAATAAAAGAAAATGTTCATTACTTAATAGGTATGTGGTAGCATTTTCTACATTTTATTGCCATTTTAATTTTTTGATTGTGACGATTTCTTATCTGTTTTGGATTTACTTGCATTAATGCAGATCATCTACAATGGAGAATAATGTTAAAGAGACTTTTGGGGAAGGAACAATAAATGATGAGTTTAAAATTGTGGATTGCTACTAGTAGGTGTTTTTTGAGTACTGTTATTTCCACCCACCTTATTCTCAACATTTTAAGGACATGTTTACCCCTTTGTAAAATGACTTCTAGGGACTTACATAATCCACCTTAAAAAAAGCTAGAAAGTGAACTTATCTGACGAATGAATCCAATATGGATGCTAACAACTTAAAAAAAAAGTAGATTAAATATCTTTTAAAAAACCCAATAACACCCACCCGCCCAGCAAGGTTCAGTCGCTATAGAGAGTTCTCCTCGACCCAGGATCCGAACGTGTGACCCTTTAGAACCACATCTTCTTCGTCATCTGCATCATGGGCCTCTTCCTTGACCCCATCTACTTCTTCCTCCCCAGCATAGGCGGATCCTCGTGCATGAAAATCGACATGGGGTTTCAGTTGTTGGATTAACTCTTCAAATTGGAGAGTGGCAAAATTCGTCCAAATGTTTTTGGCTTAACAAACGTCTTCTGCTCAATTAGTGGCAAATTAATTTCACCCTAAGTTTTGATGCCCACGAAGACTTTTAGTGCTAAAAAATTGTGGTTAGCAAATCCCTTTAATGTGAAAAGGAAAAAGGACGAATCAACAAAAAAAGAAAAAAGAAATAAAACGTAACCAATCTCTAATTTGATAATTAATTTATGAAGGTTTAAGCAATTAAGTCTTTCATTAATTATTTTTTTAAAGGATATTTTAGGAATAATGGTGGGTGGAAAGTTTGGATTGTATTTTTTCAAATTTACATAGTGAATGAGAAGATAAGGTGGGTGGGGAAATATGATAGGGGGTGGAAATCGTAGCACTCTATTTTTGTTTTTTTGTTTTTGCTGAAGTGTATGTGTGTTTTTTTTTTTCTTAATTTGTGAATTTTAATTTTGCTACGTGTGGAAATTTTTTAGGGAAATCATGCCTCACAAGAGATGCTATTTAGTATTGACGTCTGTTGAGACCCAAAAAATCTAAGGCTGAGTCTAAATATATTTCCAACCTAGTACAACACTTAACTGGGGAAAAAGCCCGACTGGGGTATGTAAGAGTTTGTCGTGTACGCTTGCGCAAGTTATGGTCCATGTGCCATGCCAAGCAAATATGCAACCCGCCGCTTAGAAAGGTCATAACAATCCCGTAAAATGTACTGACTCTATGAACCCGCGCTTATTATCCCGTCAAGTGCCATTTGGCTCGGCCATAGCCCATTATAATGCGACAGAGCTCAAGCACAAGCACAAGCACGACAAATAACACGCAACGCCAAGCGGAAAACCTTTATCTTGGCACCAAGTCACGCTACAAACTTAAGTGGGTCCAAGCCACGTGAATGCCTGGGGCTTGCTGAGCGGATTGTGGTATGGATAGTTATGAGTATTCACGAGGCCCATTGATGGTCTAAGGAGTGGAAGTTTTGGGCCGCTTGGGAGCACCAAAATTCAGGCCGATTTCTTGGGCCTAAAAATATGGGTAAGCATGAGAGAGAAAACCCAATACCTTAGGAAAAATATCTAATGGCCTACAACACTTGGAAATGTCCCACATCAGTCAAAATATCTGGCACCTTGTCAAAATCAAGCATATCCACGCAGATAGGTTGTTTCCAGCAGCTTGACGAAACCAAGAGAAATTTACAGGCCACTGGAAATAAAACAACAACGATCCAACATACCTTAGAAAATAACCCAACCCAGCACCTTATAAAATATCCAACATCGTGAAAAATATCCAGCGCCCTTGAAAATACCACAGCCAAATGAAAACCAAGTAAAAAATAAGCCATCGCAAAAACCAAAGGGAATCCATGTGCTTAAGCTGCTGGAGGTG